GGGGGGGGGGGGGGGGCTGGGAGGGGACAGCCTCGAGGCGTCCCGGAAGTGTCCCGGAAGCGTCCCGGAAGTGTCTCGGGAAGCGAGGCGCCCTCCCCGACGAGAGAGTGAGAGAGAGAGGAGGGGCCGGGAGCGCCTCGGAGTCCACAGGTGGAGCAAAAGTCGTCGAGCCCGTCCTCCTCCTCCGCGAGCACCTTGTTGGCCGCGGAGAGCTGCCGGTACTCGCTCGACTGCCGGAAGGCACCTGCGCGGCCCCGGGCGTCTCACGCTCAAGGCTCCTCGCAACGGCTCCGCCTCGCCCTCTCTCTCTCGCCCTGTCTCACTTTCGCCCTCTATGTCGTTCTGTCTGTCTGTCTGTCTGTCTGTCGGAAGGGGCGGCGCGGCCCGCCGTAGAAGAAGTGCTGCAGCTCGCCGATCGAGACGCACACGCCGCTCGCAGCGAGGGCCCTCTTTGCGCGGAACATGTCTTTCCGACTCGACACGATTGCCGCGCCGAGCACCGCCGCGTGGGTCATCTGCGCCCGCGGAGCCTCGGGTTGCGCGCGGCTCGCCATCGCCGCCTCAGCCGCCTCGGCCCGCCCGCCGTGCTGCCACAGCGTCTCCAGCGCCGCGTCCTGCAGCCCTGCGGCAGCCCATTGCCGCAGAAACCTCGCCGCAGCGCCGCCGCCGCCCCCGCCGCCGCCCGCGGCAGAGGTGGAGGGCTCACCGCCGGCGCCCTCTGCATCGGCTGCCACGCCCCACACCAGCTGCGCTGCATCCGCCCCGGCACCCTCGGCGCAGCCAAAGGCTGTGCCGACCGCGGGCAGCGTCTCGACCTGGTAGTCGTCTCCGATCCTGGTGACTCGCTTCTCGTCCGCCGCCTTGAGCGTGCCTTTGGACGCCACTACGCCCGACTCCGTGCTCATCGAGCGACCAGCCAGCAGCCCAGGAGCAGCAAAACCGCTCGAATAAAGAAACCTGGGGACGTAGGGCGAATACAAAGTGAAAACCCGCGCCGCCCGCAATAAGCGCAGATGTCCTCTTCAGCCTGCCGAGAGCTTCCTGGCCCGCGCGCGCGCTCCGCCTGCCGCGCGGAGCGACTCGGTGGACGTCCGAGCCCGCCGCCCCTCGCCACTGCTCCCTGCTGGCCCATGCAGCGCGACACCGCCGGCGCTGCAACCCACCCCGCAGGCGCGCCGACGTGCTGCCCGAGCGCGTTTGGGGGCAGCCGCAGCTCCTCGCTAGGCGCCTTCGGAAGGTGCCACACCCCTTTCCCAGCCGCGCGCGAGTTGAGCTCCGATTTGCGCTCTTTTTCGCACACGCCCGACGCCAGTAGGTGAGGATCGACCATCCTCCGCTAGCAGAGGGCTTCGTCGGGCGCGTCTTCGTCGAGCGGTGGTGCATCTCCCATGCTCCCCCCGCGCCCTCCTGGCAGCCCGCCCGCGGCCCACACCGACGCCCTCACGTGCTCACCCTAGTCGTAGGTGCGGTTTTTTTGCGTGCCCCCCGTCGATACGGGGCGCTGGGCGATGGCTGGGCTTGTCGCCGGGCGAGCTAGCCCCTCAGCCGGCCGCGGAGCGGAGGTGCGAAATCGAGGCGGCGCGGCCCCTGCGCGCAGTCTGTCCGGCCGGCGCGCGCATGGTTCCGTAGCCCGTCTAGTGCCTCACTGACCGACTCCAGCGCTACGGTGTACGCGTGGCCGGTGTGGTACTGGGGCTGGGCAGCCTTGGGGCCGGCGGAGACCGCCGTCTAGCGGTCGCACTAGTCTCTTTTCGTTGACGTTGTTCGACCTGTTTGTTCGACGGTTGTTCGACCATGTTTTGAGCCTTAATTATTAATTATGGTTTGGGTCTCTGAGGTCGATACTAGCGTCTGTAACTTGCCACAAGCATGCTTTACAAAAGTCCTGCGGAGCGGGACTCGCAGAACTGCAAGAGATATTGGTCTTCAAACACTGTGTGAAACGCGCCGTGGTCAAACACTGTTCAACGTCGTTGAACACGTAGCGAAAGAGAGACCGTGTGGGTGTGCCCCGTGTGGCACCCCGGCCTGTTGTCTCACCCTGGCTCCCAAGATCGTTTTGGTCGTCACACTGTGACCTCCGACGTCGTCAAATGTCGCCCGCCTGTCCTTCCCCCCATTCTCGTCTGGTAGTCTCATCTTATTGTCCCATGGGTGTTTGAGGCTGGCTACTGCCACTTCGCTCCATCCAGCCGTCCCGCCACCCCTGCCGTGTGTGATCCCGACCTCACCGTCTTTCGAAATTGTCGCTTACCCACTCGTGCGCGCTCGGAGGGGGGCTGGGCAGGGTTCCCTCGTTAAAATTCTTCTCGAACACCTGAAAGAAAGAAAGAAAACAGACAACCCAAGGGAGGGATGGGAGGACGGCACGCCGCCACCACACAGGGATTTTAAGGAGAGGTGTGTGGTGCGCTATCCGTCGCCCACCCTAGGGAGTCTGCCTCTTCCTATCTCTCTTCGCAGTCTCTCGCTGATTCTCGCTGCAATCTTCATGCCACCACGCGGTCGTCCCACCCTCGTCGTTCTCTCCCTTGTCACTTCCTCCTCTGTCGCGTTGTTCTCTTCTGCCCCGTCCTGCGACGCCGCCGCCTGCCGGTCCCTTGTTCTCGCGGCTTCTTTCGCCTGTCGGCGCAACTCCGTCCTCCTCGCGGCGTATCCTGGCCCCTCGAGTCTATCGAGCTCCCCTCGCGCAAGGACCACATTTCTGACTCCCACTCCGATCATTTGCCTACAGGTCATGTTGTTGCTCAGGTCCACTCTCTCTTCGAACACTCGTGCCTCTACGGATGATGCCGGCGCTGGGGTCCCCTTCGGATGCATCGTGACATCTGACAACTGGATTTCCACTGGTTCGTCCTCCTCGGAGTCATCTTCCCCGTCCTCCTTCCGCTCGGCTCTTCGCTCGGTACGTTCGGTGTGGCTCACCCTCCATGCCGTGAACAGGCGCTTTATCCACCCTATATTCTTCTCTCGTTCCTCTGCCCGTGCCTTGGTCTTGTCGTTGTTTCGCACCCATGTCTGTATGGCAATCGAGGCTGCCTTCCCCACTACCTGTAGGTCACTCGTCACCTCTCCCGCGAGCTCCCTTCTCTTTCTTTCGGGTATGGAGTCCGTGAGTGCGGGTAGCGTGCAGGCAATCACGGGCGCTATTTTGTCGTACTCCTCTTCGGCGAGCGCTCCAAATCTAGACCCTTTCGCCTTTAAGGAGGCTGCCCTCGCTCGTCTCAGGAATGTGGCGGTGTCTTTTGAGTCCGGCGCCTCCCGTTCAACTCTTGCTGTCGCCCTCGCTGTGTGCTTGTCGAGCTTCCGCATGAAGTGACGCGCCTCTTCCTTATTTCCAGCGCAGCTGCCGCTCAGTATGTGTGCCAACGACGCCTGTGGTGGCTCACTGTCTTCTTGTTTCCAGTCGTCCCAGTCTCCCAGTTCCCCGCGTCTCCTCCTTGCCTCGCGCGCCTCTTTTGTGGCCTCATCCCTAGCCGCCTTGCACGCTCTGCTCACCTGCTGTGAGAGAAGACCCGAAAGAATTCTTTTGGAACACCTTGCTTGCACATCGGCCGGCGCCGACTAGCCCAGCGGAATTCGAGGCCTCTCTTGCCTAGTGTGCGCACTCCAGCCCCACGTGCCGTCGAGCCTAACCTCCCCGCCCCGCTCCTGCGCAGCGGCCTCCTCCTCCTCGCGATGGACGACTGGAAGGCGGCGTTTGGCGAGGAGTGGGATGCTGTTGTGCTCGGCACGGGGATGAAGGAGTGCCTGCTGAGCGGGCTGCTCTCGGTCGCGGGGAAAAAGGTGCTCCACCTCGACCGCAACGACTACTACGGCGGCGCCTCTGCCTCTCTCGACATCAACCAGCTCTTTGAAAAGTTCCAGGCCGGCGCCCCTCCGTCCGAGGCGGAGCTGGGCAAGCTGCGCGACTGGGCGGTGGACATGGTGCCAAAGTTCATCATGGCCGGCGGGCAGCTCGTCAAGGTCCTCATCCACACAAAGACGGCAAACTACATGGAGTTCAAGGCGGTCGACGGGTCGTACTGCTACCGCGCGCCAAAGGCGCGCTCGTCGGGCGAGTTTGGGCGCGTGCACAAGGTGCCTCTCACGCCCAAGGAGGCGCTGTCGAGCTCGATGCTGTCGATGCTGGAGAAGGGGCGGATGGGAAAGTTCACCATGTGGGTCGCCTCCATCGACTGCGGCAAGCCCGAGGGCTTCTTTGAGGTGCGGCTGAGAGACTGATATTGTGCAGTGCTGGGCGTCGCCCCTCACTCTCACCCCTCACCCCTCACCCTCACCCTCACCCTCGCTCTCTGGCCCTGGCCCTAGGACGGCTCCTTCCGGGACATGCCGTACTGGACGCGCGTGGGCATGACGGGCCGCAAGAAGATGCCGCTCACTCAGTGGAACGGCGACCAATTCTTCAAGGCGCGCGGGCCTTCCTAGACACTGCCTAGACACTGCCTAGACACTGCCTAGACACTTCTTCAAGGAGCGGGCCCAGTGCACAGCCGGGCGTCGCCTGCAGACCCCTCCCGCACACCTCCCCGCACCCTCCCTGCAGGACTGGGGCCTCGAGGCGGGCACGATCGAGTTTCTCACGCACGTCTGCGCCCTGTACCGCGACGAGTCGTGGCGCTCCGCCCCTGCCCTCGAGGCGGCCTCGCCCTCCCGCCCCGCGTCCCGCCCCGGCGGCACACACGCTCTCCGCCTCCCACATCCCCTCGCGCCTCCACGCCTCGCGCCTCCCCCTCCCCCTCCCGCAGGTCGTCTCGCGCATGCAGCTCTACCTCGAGAGCCGCACGCGCTTCGCCGGCATGACCTCGCCCTACCTCTACCCCCTCTTCGGGCTCGGAGAGCTGCCGCAGGCCTTCGCAAGGCTGGCGGCGGTGCACGGCGGCACGTACATGCTCAACCGCGACTTGGACGGCTCCCCCGTCTTCGGGCCGAACGACCTCTCCCTCGAGTACGCCGAGGACACTTCCTAGACACTTCCTAGACACTTCAGAGACACTTCCCTCTCGTACCTCAGGTACGCCGAGGACGGCACCGTCGCGGGGGTCGTCAACCACGACGGCGAGGAGGCGGTGGTGGCGCGCACAAAGACGGTGGTCGGCGACCCGTCCTACTTTGCGGGCAAGACGAAGCCGACCGGCTCGGTGGTGCGCGCCATCGCGCTGCTCGACGCGCCGCTGGCCGAGATGGAGAAGGACGGCGCCTCGTCGTGCCAAGTCATCTTCCCGGCGGCGCAGTGCGGCCGCTGCAACGACCTGTACCTCTTCCTCTGCTCGAACGCGCACAAGGTTGCGCCGGCGGGCAAGTACGTCGCCTTCCTCTCGACCAAGGTGGAGGGGCCGACGCAGGGGATGAGCAACGAGCAGATCGCCCACCGCGAGCTCGCCGCCGGGCTGGCGCTCTTCACGCGGCCGGGCGCGCCCATGCCGCTCCACCTCTTCTACGACGCGTACCCCACCTACGCGCCGCTCACCAACGGCACCAAGGACCGCGTCTTCATCTCCGAGTCCTTCGACGCGACGTCGCACTTCGAGACGGCCATCAACGACGTGCTCGACATGTACCAGCGCATCACCGGAGAGACCCTCAACCTCGACGCCCTCGCCGCCGCCGCCTCGGCCGAGCAGTAGAGTACTCCGAGTAGCGTACTCCACGAGTAGCGCAGCCCGCGCGGCGGCGGCGGCGGAGGGGCAGTAGCGCCAGTGCCGTGGAGACGCGGCGGGGCGAGACGTCGCCGACGAGGGGGGCATTTAGGCGCAGAAGGTAATATATTGAAGTAATCACGCGCCGGCCAGATATATCACATCACACACATTGGACATGCAGCTCTTGGTACTTGGAGGATGGAGCTCTCGGATCACCATATCACCGGCGACGCGCTGGCCCTCTGGCGCCGCACGGGCCACGCCCACACGCGGCACGGGCTCTGGCCCAGATGTTATTTTTCACTTATATTCGTGTGAAGGGATCGTCGGCGGCGGCGTCGTCGTCGTCGTCGTGCGTCGTGGTGTCGTCGTCGTCGTCGTCGTGATCGGCCTCGTTTTTCTTCTTTGCCTCTCCCCACCAACGCGAACGCGGGCAGCGAGCCGGGCCTGCGCTGCTTGGCAGCCGCGCCTCCCATGATCATCTCACTGACGGCAGCCCTCGCCGTCTCCTTCCTCCTCTACGTCTGCATATTCGGCGGATCCTCGACCGGCTTCATCGGCAAGCTCCACCGCCTGCTAGTGCGCTGCGAGTGCTTTGGGCTCTGCTTTGGCCGCCGATGCGCCCACTTCCTCTCCCGATCCGAGGAGGTGTGCTGCGGCCGCCCGAACCCGCTGCTGCAACTCTTCTACCTCTCCCTCGTCCTCGGCGGCTTCTACCTCTTTCTCCTCTCGACGCGGCAATACATGGACAACCCTCGCCTCGCCCATTACCACTCCTACGCGCCGTACCCAGCCGTCGGCGTCGCCATCGCCACCTTTGTGGCGGCGAGCTTCAGCGACCCTGGCACCATCACGCCCGCCAACCTCCACCGCTTCTCTCGCGAGCCCTTTGACGGCGTCCTCTACCGCCCGAAGATGTGACACCGACCAGCGCCCCGACGCGCTCCCGCCCGCGCCAGCGAGCACCCGCACCCCGGCGCCTCCTCCCAGGTGCCCCAGCTGCATGCTGCCGCGGCCGGCGCGCTCAAAGCACTGCTCCATCTGCAGCACGCGGACCTTTCCTCGACGTGTCCGTGACACGTCCCTGACATGTCCCAGGCACTGCTCCATCTGCAACAAGTGCGTCTCCCGCTTCGACCACCACTGCCCGTGGATCAACACCTGCGTCGGCGAGAGAAACTACCGCTGGTCGAAGCCTCTTGCCGCCGCACGAGCACACGCCCGCACGTCCGCACGCCTCTCTCTCTCTCGAGCAGGTTCCTCCTCTTCCTCCTCTACCACGCGATGCTCTGCTTCTACTCGGCCTACCTCCACGGCATGCCACCAGCACACCGCCCCCTCGCCCGCCTCGCCCGCCCTCGCCCTCCTCCACCCTCCTCCTCCACCCTCCTCCTCCACCCTCCTCCCCACCCCCCTCAGGCACCATCCTCGCCTACCTCGCCTACGACCTCCACAGGCTGCACGAGGCGTACTACATCGACGCGCACGGCGAGGGGGCACACCACCCGCCACCCGCCAGCGAGAGAGGCCGACCGAGCCTCCTCCTCCTCTAGGCCAGCACCAGGCCGTCACCCGGTCCCAGGCCTTTCAGTACCTGATGCTCCACCACCAGATGGTGATCGCCGTCGGCGCTTTCTGCCTCGTCATCGCCGTTGCCCTGCTCGGCTTCTGGGGTGCCTCCTCCCCGCCTCCCTCCCCGCCTCCCTCCCCGCCTCCCTCCCCGCCTCCCTCCCCGCCTCCCTCCCTCCCCGCCTCCCTCCCCGCCTACCTCCCCGCCTCCCTCCCCGCCTCCCTCCCCGCCTCCCTCCCCGCCTCCCTCCCTGCCTCCCTCCCCGCCTCCCTCCCCGCCTCCCTCCCCGCCTCCCTTCCCGCCCGTGCGCTGCCCGCCCCGCCGCCGCCCGATCGTCTTCACGTGGCGTCTCACGCGGCGCGGCGGAGGGCAGGCTACCACTGGTAGGCTACCACTTGTGGCTCGTCCGGTGCGGCACCACCACAAACGAGTCCTTCAAGTGGGTCGACGTCGTCAACAGTCTCGCACGCCAGCAGGGCGTTCCTCGCCGTCAGGCGCGAGCTGCCGCCACGCACGCTGCCAGGCGCCTCTTCACAGGTCCGCATGTGAATAGGCCAAGCTGCCGCTCAACCGGCGACCCAATCTCGCTCGCCGGCCGCCCCGCGTCACCCCCCCTGCTCACCGCCCCCCCCCCCCTTCGCAAGGTACAACCTCGGCTTCGTGCAGAACGTCGCTTGCGTGGTCTGCCCGCTCTCCTCGCGCCCCGCGGACGGGTTTGCGCCCGCGAGGGAGGCGGGAGGCGCCCTCACCACTCTCGTCAACTCGGCCGAGCCGGCGCACGGGCCGGCGGCCGGGATTGACGACCGTTCGCTCGACGACTCGGACGAGGAGCTCGTGGAGCCGGCCGCGCTGCACGAAGACTAGATAGACATAGAGCGAGCGGGCGCCTCGGGCGCGTCTCGGTATATATTGTCTGTACAATAACGCTGTAGCCCTGATTATAGTGCGTGTGCTTTCTCTTCATACTCTCCACATACGGCTTTAGGTAAGGCTTTACCGTAAACGCAGTACGAACCGCGCATCACACCCCCGCAAATCTTCACTTGTCGCGGGACGCGGCGCGGGGCCACATGCCGACGGCGAGAAAGCCGCTTTCCCAAAGCCGCGCGTGGCTTGCGGTACATGCAGACTCCGTTCACGCAATTCTATTTTCCACCGAAGGCCGCTAATCGGGTGTGAAACGCGTGGTCGCTGTCGCGACGGTCCGTCCGGCGCTGGTCCGGCCCCCCCCCACGCCGCCTGCACACAGCGAAGAACATCTCGTCTACACATGATTGGTGGCACCGGCCGCGGGCGTGTGCATGGCGCGCCACAAATAACGATCCGTGCTCCAGTCATCTCATCTCGGGTCTGGAGAGGAGCGGCCGCTCGTCGACCCGCTCTGCCGCAGCCGCTCGAGCTCCGACTCGCCTCTGCTCCTGGAGAGGCTCACCAGAGAGCTCACCTCCTCGGCGCTCGCCTCGTCGAGAGACGAACCGAGCGAGCACGCGTCTGTGCCTTCCGAGGAGAGGGACCAGCGGCAGGTCGGGCAGGTATTGGCCCTCTCAAGCCACACGTAGAGGCACCGCCAGTGCAGCTTGTGCAGACACGGCATGCAGGCCACCTCGTCGCCTGGCATGTAGCCCTCGAGACAAATCGGGCACGTCTCAACCTCGCAAGCAAGAGCCCTGGTTGTGCGTGCAGAGAGGACGCGGCGCGCGACGGTCGGAGAGACGTCCATCTCGGCGACCGTCAGAGGAGCAGTTCCGGCGACAGAAAAGATGTTTCGCACGGCTCCACGGCGCTGTAGAGTCCACGGCAGAGCCGGCCGCTCTGCGCTGGAATCGGCGGGCGGCGGTGTCCGCGTTCTGCGAAATCTCATAGCAGAGCCCGTCGTAGCGGAGGGGACGGCGCTATCGCGAACACAAGGCAAGGTCGGTGCTAAAAGCGCGCGCATGAATTCTTTTTTCAGGGAGGTTCTTCTCGACCCCCCTCTTTTCTTTTCCTTTTTCTTTCCTCTCTTTTTCTCTATTTTCGGAAAACTCCGTGGAAATCGTCAAATTTTGGGCTCTGAGCCGAGTCTGAGAGATTTTTGAAAACCAAACAAACAAGAAATCACGACTCTCAAGAAGAAGAGATCACTCTGTGTGACACATTTCTTGTTGGCTTCTAAAAATGCACTTGCATGCGACTCTCACAGTGATTTGGGCTCGGCAGCTTGTTAGCCCTCAGCCGAAGCTGGGGCCGGTCCCGTAGCCGAGAGAGCCCGCGCCGATGAGTTCGACCGACGCGGTCGGGGGGCCCTGCGGAGAGGCCAGCGAGATGGCGATCGCTCTCTCTCTTCCCGAGTCTGAGGCTGGTTTGGGCCCAAAATCAGCCAAATTTTAGGCCAAATCGTCAAAATGCCGGGAATTTTGCGGAGAACCCGTGTAGACCTGGATGGAAATTACCCTGCGACCGCCTGGGTATTTGGAGCACTTGGAGCACTTGGAGTGCAGTCATTAACCTCACATCCAGGGCCGGGGAGCTAAGAAGCGCACCCAGCGAGCCGGATGATCGGCATCGGGCTACGGGCTAGAGAGCCCTGACCCCTAGCTAGGGGGGGTGCGCATTCGCAGGGAAAGGGCCGTAAAGTAAACACGGGTCTCCGAGGGTTGGTTCCGTGTACCGGGTTTCCCCTTAACTGCAGAACGCCCCCTCTACTCGGAGCTAGTGGACACGGACACGACACCACATGTCACATACACGTACACGACGGCCTAACTTCGCCCGGTTCCCCGGGGCCTCGTCCCCCGCCCGTCAGAGCGAATCTTCGGTCCGGTTCGGTCTCTTGCTCGCCTTCCGGGCGTCGGCTCCCCGACTGCCTCTGCAGTCGTTTTTGATGCCTCTTCTTCGGAGGCGGCCCCCCCGCCTCACCTCCGCCGGCTAGCCCCATCGGCCCCGAGGGAGCTGATGGCCCGGCCGGGGTCTCCCCGGGCGAGGGCGGCGGCAGCGTGTCTCGTCGCCACCCCTCCCCGGGAGGTCGGGCCGGCTCTCCCTGGTCGGCGAGTCGCGCCCGCATCCGCGGCCTCTCTATCGTTCTGTCGTAGATCACGGCGGTCCAGCCGCCGCCGCGACGGGTCTACCCCCTGTGGGTTCGCACGGCCCGACTCCACTCGCAGAGGCCGAGTCAGCTCGACTCTCACCTCCCTCGACAGTTGACTCCAGGCCTCACCCGGGGCCCTCCGGTCCCGGCCTTCCGGTCCGCCTACGTCTCCACCGCACGTACCCCATTCGCATCCACATTCGCCTCTGGCAGGTAGAGAACGTCGACCAGGCCATGTTCCACCAGGGTCCAGGGCGACCGCCGCGGGCAGACGGCACTGGGACCTCTCCTTCCCTGATGTCTCGTACGGCATCATCCGACCGGTAGGGTTGACGACTCCCACCACCAGGTCTCCCTCCCCTTCCCGGTGTAGGATGTTGGTGTCCCCTTTCCAGCCCAGGGATCCGTGTATCCGGGCTGCGGTGACTCCCTCCGGCCAACCCACCTTCTTACCGTCTCCAGTCGACTCCACCGGGGCCAGCAAGAGGCACGACGGCTCCCGTATCTCCCCTTCGTGGTCGCCCTCGTCCCCGGCCTCCTCCAGGAGCCGGGCCGCGGAGTCTTGCTCTAGGCTATCCATGAACTCGATGGCCTCCACCCCAAACAGATATTTCAATCGGCGGAGGTGCGGGGGGGGCCTCGCCGGCCAGGCATCGCTAGGGGGGGGCAGTGGCTGGGTGGGTAGCCTCGCCGTCCAGGCCCCTCTAGGGGGAGACAGCCTAGTCGCTGCGAGCCCGAGTTGGAGTGAGTGCTCGCCGTCGTCCGGTGATAGCCCCCTTCCACTGGCGAGAGCGTCCTGGGGCTGCGGTCAATCTCGATCGGCCCACGGGGCGGCTGGGCGAACCGGAGAGCCCTTCGTTGGGCCGCAGCTGCCTCGCTCTCCCCCCTCGACGGCCGCAAGCGTACCCTCCCACCTCCGGGTCGCCTCCTCGGCCGGGAGTACACCTCGGCTCATACCCGCCGCCTTGCGGCTGGCCGCCGTCGGGCCGAAGCGATCGAGTCGCCGTTGAAGGATGGAGTCCTCTTCTGTGGTGGGCGCCCACGGCTGCGAACCTGACCCCTCGGCCGGATCCACTCGTCCCGAGGAGACTCCCTCGCGTGGTCCCCCCACCCCTGCGCCGGCGTCTCCGCTTGCCAGGCGGCGGAGCCACTCCATTCGTCCCAGCCTCCCTCGCGCGACCCCGCGGAATCCCCAGTCGATCGATCCCACCGCCCGGGCGCCCTCCCCGCCTCGGGCCGCCGCCGCTTCGCCTCCGCCGAGCCCGCACCGGCTTTGTCCTCCACCATCCGCTCAGCGTCGCCTGCCGCGGCGGAAGCAGACGCCCCCGCCATCAGGGTCCTGAGCGATGGGAGAGGGCCTCCCCGACCCAAGGGGCAGGCCCAACGTTGCACCGCTCCATCATCGGTGAAGGGGCCGGCGGCGGCGAACGAACCTTCATGCCACCTCGCGGTCGTCCCACTCTCGTCGTTCTCCCTCTTGTCGCTTCTTCCTGACTTCCTCTGTCGCTTCGCTCTCCTCTGCCTCGTCCTGCGACGGCGTCGCCGCCTGCCGCTCGCTTGCTCTCGCTTCTTCTCCCGCCTTCGTCTCAGCTCTGCCCAGCCGCATGTTATTCTTCAACACGTGAGCCTGTGTGTGTGCCAGTCCGCGCCAGTCTGCGCCCTTGTCGTGCCAGTGTGCTGTGAGAGAGCCTTGTATCTTAAGAATTCTTCAACACACGCACCTCGTTGTGCAATTTAGAGTGCGCATCGCTTGCTGCTCCTCTCGCACACCCTCCTCCCGTCACGAGGGCATTGCCCCCCACCTCCCTCCTCGCCGCGCGTCGCAGGTCATGCTTTCCACCTCCGTCGCCACTCTCTCGTTCAACGCGCCCGCCATGCGCGCCCCGGCCACCCGCTCGTCGGCGGTCACCATGTTCTCCGAGGGCGACCTCGGCGTCCTCCCGCCGCTCGGCGTGTACGACCCGCTCGGCCTGATCGAGACCCGCGACATGCGCCGCTACGAGGCGCGCGCCACTCCCTCTCCCTCGCCATCCCCCGTCGCCGCGTCGCGCCCTCGCCACTCCGCTCGCTCGCGCCCCGCCCTCCCCGCAGATCATGGAGATCAAGCACGGCCGCGCCGCCATGCTCGGCTTCCTCCACGTCATTGCGCTCAAGGCGGGCATCGTGCTGCCGGGCGACCTCTCCCCGTCGCTGGGCATCAAGTTCTCGGACGTGCCGACCACCTGCTTCGGCTCGCTCGAGGCGGTCCCCACCTTCGGCTGGCTGCAGATCATGCTCTTCACCTGCATGCAGGAGACGGGCGCGTCGCCGCTCGCCGAGGCGCAGACGGACGACAAGGAGGCGGGCGACATCGCCATCGACTCGTGGGTGCGCTACGACGACCCCGAGACCAAGACCTTCAAGCTCAACGCCGAGCGCCAGAACGGCCGCGCCGCCATGCTCGGCATCACCGGCTGCCTCGTGCACGAGCTCCTCGGCGTCGATGCGCTCTACCCGACCGGCGGCCTGGGCGGCGCCGCGCCCCCGGCCATCTTCTAAGCAAACGCAGCCCGCGCGCCTGAGTGTATGTGTGTGCTGCGGGTGCAGGTTTCTCAAATATTCCTACGATGAGTGCGTGCGCGTGCGAGCGACTGCCGCGTGTTATCGCGTCCTAGCCGAGCGGCATGTGTCTCGCTCTCGGCGGCGCCACGCAGCGTCGGCCGTCGCTCCACAACATATCTCGCGGCATCGCCTCGAGGGCATCGCCCAACTGCCGCATTAGAGTTCAGACCCACCTCCCGCACGACTCTGACACTCCGGGGAGCTCGACGCTGAAAGACCCCTGGCCACGTAAAAAACCAACGTCTCACAGCGCAGCAGCGTCCCACGCGCACACCACCACTGGCCGCGGCGTGACGAGCCGACCAGGGCGCGGGCCGCGCGTACGCAGACAGGCTCGCGCCTCCGATGTCGCAGTCCGTGAAGAGGGCGGTGGATGGCGCCGAAGGCGAAGCGGGACCGCGCAGTCAGCCGTCCCTGTGGTGCACCTCCTGCTGGAGCAGCTCGACGATGGTGCCGATCGTGCGGCCGGTCAGCGGCAGGTCGAGCTCTGGCGTCTCGATCTTTGCGAGCAGCAGCTTGTCCAACTCTGCGCGAAGCTGCTTGAAGAGGACCGCCACTCGCGGCGGCGCGGAGAACTCAATCCAGCCGTCGACAGCGATGGTCTGCTGCGCGTGCTGGACCTTGAGCTCGCCTCCAAACAGAAGCAGCGGGTACGGCGTCACCATCGTCGAGTCGCGCACAAAGACCTGCGACGTGCGCACCTTCTCGTAGTAGACCAGCCAGCGGGAGCGTAGGTCGCCGCCGCTCGCGTTGACAGACGACGGGTGCACCGCCACCGCCAGCCCGCTCGGCCCCTCGATCTGGGGCGCCCGCGCGCGGCCGGCGTAGTGCGGCCGCGAGCTCGGGGCCGCCTCGGGAGGCACCACTCGCACCACGTTCGGGTAGAGCCCAGCGGCGAGCACGGCGCGCAGGCACGGGTCGGAGGCTGCGTTCGCGTTGTAGTGCTCGCCGCCCACCGGCAGCTGACGCATCGCGTCGCGGACGAGCGCCGCGCCAGTCCGGGAGGGGACCTCCCCGCCGCCCCTGCCCCCGCCCCTGCCTCCGCCCCTGCCTCCGCCCCTGCCTCCGCCCCTGCCCCAACCCCTGCCCCCGCCTCCGCCCCCGCCTCCTCCGGGCGGCGGGCAGAGCAGGTCCTTAGGGCCAGGGTTAGGGTTAGGGCAGAGCAGGTCCGGCTGCACGAATCCGATGTCGAGCAGCAGCTCGAGGAACTGACTCATCACCGGCGCCATCCCCTCGAGCCGCTCCTGCGAGAGGAACGAGTCGCGGCACCAGCCGCCGCTCGCGCGCCGGCCGCGCGCCTGCAGCGCGCGAAACTCGCGGAAGGCCCGCAGCACCGCGAGGTGGTCCGAGCGCGAGTCGGCTGCGAAGCGCTGCCGCGCCTCCCGGGCGGCGGCGCGCTTGTCCGGGTCGAAGGGCTCGAGGAAGGGGGAGCGGAGCGAGAGCGCGGCGGCGATGATGAGTGCGGGCTCGAGGCAGCGCAGCATGCACGCGTACAGCAGCATCTTCCCGATCCTCACGTCGACGGGCAGCGTGGCGAGGTGGCGGCCGAGCGGCGTGAGGCTCTGCTTGACGTCGAGCGCCTGCAACTCGCCCAGCTGCCCGATCGCGGCCTTGACCGCCGCCTCGGACGGCGGCTCGAGCGCCCGCGCGAGGAAGGGCTCGATCTCGCCCAGCTCGAGCAGCTTGATCTGCAGGCAGAGCTCGTGCAGAGGGACACGTGCCATCTCCGGAGGCGTGAAGGCGGCCAGCCCCCCGCAGCGCTCGCGCGTGAACATGCCGAAGTACTCGCCCGGCCGGACCCGCCCCGCCCGGCCTCGCCGCTGCCGGCGCGACGCCTGCGAGACCCACGTCTCGACCAGCTGCGGCAGCTGGTTGACCGCGTCGTACCGCGTCTCCTTGACGCGGCCAGAGTCGATCACGTACACGACGTCGTCGATCGTGATCGACGTCTCGGCGACATTCGTCGAGACCACAACCTTGCGCCGACCCGCCGGCGGCCGCTCGAAGACGCGCCGCTGCTCCGCCGAGGAGAGGCCCGCGTGGAGAGGCAGAGGCAGGAGCCGGGCCCCTGCCTCGCCGCCGCCGCCGCCCTCGCCGCCCTTGCCGTCCCTGCCGCCCTTGCCGCCCTCGCCGCCCTTGCCACCCTTGCCACCCTTCCCGCCGCCCTCGCCGCCCTTCCCGCCGCCCTCGCCGCCCTTCCCGCCGCCATCGCCGCCCTCCCCGCCGAGCGCCGCGACCAGCGCCGAGATCTCGCGCGTGCCAGGCATGAAGACGAGGATGGCGCCCTCGGGGCGGGTCGTGTCGAGGTGGCTCACGAGCGCCGCCATCGCGTCGATGTTGACCTTCTCCTCGTCCATCGTCTCGAGCGAGCGCAGCACGTGCTCGCTCCAGCTCTCGCCGTCCTCGTCTCGCGCCACAGCCTCCCGCGCCGCCGCCGCCGCCGCCTGTAGCGCGTCGCGCGCAAAGCCGCGAGCCTTGCCCTCCCGCCCGCCCGCGCCGACTCGCTGCGCGACCTGCTCCGCGAAGCCGAGCCCCTCCGTGCCGCCCGCCGCCTCCGCGCCGCGGGCCCTCCTCGCGTACGGCCCCCCCTCCTCGATCTGGTGGCCGGTCCTCTCGAGCACCTCCTCGAGGAAGGCCTCACGCACCGGGTGCGTGAAGCCAGGGATGTGGAGCGTCGGCGCCGCAGGAGGCGGCGGGGCACCCTCCTCGCCCGTGCCACCCGCGCCGCCGTCCCCTCCCGTGCAATCGGCCGGCGCCTCGAGGCTGGCTGGCGCCTCGAGGCTGGCGGGCGGGGGGGGCAGCGGCGCGGCGCCAAAGGCCACCGCGCCGAAGTAGGAGGCGAAGAGGGACGCGTTGATTGTGGCGGACATGAGCACGAGCTTGAGGCCGGGCCGCCTGGCGAGCACGTCGCGCAGGATGATGAGCAGGAAGTCGGACTCGAGGGAGCGCTCGTGCACCTCGTCGACGATCACGTGCGACACGCCGCGCAGCTCGCCGTCGCCGTGCAGCCGCCGCAGCAGGATGCCGGTCGTGCAGAAGAGGAGCCTCGTGTCGCGGCTCCGCTTGGACTCGAGCCGGATCTGATAGCCAACCGTCTCTCCGATCCGCTCGCCGCGCTCCGCCGCCACCCGCTCGGCGACGCCGATGGCCGACAGGCGGCGCGGCTGCGTGCAGAGGATGCTCGTCACGCCGCCACGCCCCTCTGCGATCTCGTCGTCGAGGATGAACTGGGGCACCTGCAAGGCGGTCCCGCGCGGTGAGGTGCGTGCGCCCGAGGAGAGTGCGCCGTGTGCCGGCCGTCTCGCCTGCGTCGTCTTGCCGCACCCGGTCTCGCCGCTCACCACGAGCACGTCTGCCCTCCGCAACCCTTCCAGCACCTCCTCCCGCTTGGCGGCGGCGGGCAGCTTGCCACGCACGGACTGCATCCTCCGCCATGGCTCCGACGCTCGCTTCGCCTCCTCCGCCGCCCGCATCGCCTCACCGCAACGCACCTGCGCCGCCGTCAGCGCCGCCTCTGCACCGGCAGCGCCAGCAAGACCGGCACCAGTGCCAGTACCCTCGGTCACTCGGCTGCAGAGCTCGCTTGTGCTGCAGAGCTCGCTTGTGCCCGTCTTTTGGCGCTCTCCCTCTGCCGCCCCTCCTGGCTCTCCTTGCTCCCCTGGCTCTCCTCGCCCTTCGGGCTCTCCTATCGCCGTCTCCACCGTCGCCACTGCCCCGGCCCGTTCTTCTGCCTCCTCCATCTCCTCCGCCTCCTCCACCTCCTCCGCCTCCTCCTCCTCCGCCGCCGTCTCCGCCTCTCCCTGTACCCCGCCCTCGCCACCACCAACCAATCTTTGGTTTGCGAGCCGCCACCGCCTCGCCCTCTCCTCCTCCTCCTCCGCCTCGCGCACCGCCCACGCCGCCGCCGACTCCTTCTCCGTCCGGAGCCGCAGCGACAGCGCCGCCCGCTCGGCGGCCGGCACGCTCGCCGCCTGCGTGCTCGCCTGCTGCGACGGCTCATGCGGCGCCCCCTCCGCCTCCGGCTCCGGCGCGGAGGGCGGCGGCGCGTCGACGCAGGAGAGGCGGTGTAGGAGGGACGGGAGCTCGGCGCGGAGCCTGCCCAAGGTCGCACGGGCTGTGAGCTCGCAGAGGGGGGCCTCCGCGCGCCACTTGAGGTGAACGAGGGGGCTGGCGACGGTGGCGGCTGCGTGGCTTCTGTCGTGTGCCGAAGGTCTCTCGCGTGGCACGCACCACTCGAGCAGGCGTGGGGAGATATGTGGAGATATGGGAGGTATGGGGAGATATGGGGAGATATGGCACGCACCACTCGAGCAAGTCGAAGAGGAGGCCCGCGGGCTCGCTCCCCGCGGCGCTGGATGCGAGCTCGGCGCCCTGCGGCGAGCGGCGAGCCGCGTGGCTCAGATGCCTCGCGGGGTGGCGCGTGAATGGGGCGGGTGCGTCCTCTCCACCTTTGCGAGAAGCATGCGGCTCAGCTCTCGCTGCGTGCGCGGCAGAAGCCGCGGGCACCTCGCTGCGATCAGCGGGGGCGCGCGGGGGTATGCCCACCGCTCCGCAGCCGCAGAGACGACTAGCAGCTCGAGCGCCTGCGGAGCGGGGAGGGTGGAGAAGGGCGGGAGAGGGTGGGAGGGTGTGGGAAGGTGGGAGGGTGTGGGAGGGTGGGAGGGCATGAGAGGGTGGGGGTGCGACTGGTCCGTACAGACAGCCTCCAGCACGTGAGTGACTCCCCAGAGAGAGTGCGACGCCTGCAGCGTGACTAATGATGAGCGATGAGCGGTGAGGGAGGCGCCTGCAGAGTGCCCGCGGGAGTGCCGCGGTCGTCGCGAGACTCGAGCAGCGGCGCCCCCTCCGGAGAGAAGCCGGCGAGGCGGGCCGCCGCGCCGCCGGGGTCCGCCTAGGCGCGAGGCGCTCTTGAGGTGGAGCGGCGAGCCGCGCCTCCTCGGGCCGTCCGGCATGCGGCGGGCCTCTGCGTGTGCGCGGGTGCAGTAGGCGGATGGCACGTGCCGGCTGGTCGGTAGGCGGCACCCCCGAAGCACGCACCGGGGGCAGTGCGGAGGGGGGCCCCCTCCCGCTCCCGCCTCCGCCTGTCCTGAGTGCGCCGCCGTGAAGGCCCACGGCGCCTCGCCCGTCGCAGAGTCCCACAGTAGCGTGACCAGCCTGCACCCGCCCGGCAGAAGGCCGTACTCGCTCCCGAGGATCGCCTGCATCGCCGTCTCCTCCTCCTCGCAGGCTGCGCGCAGCGCCTCCGCCTCCGCCTCCTCCGCCGGCGCGCACAGCGCCGCCATCCCTCCCGCCGCCCCTCCCTCCGCCCCTACCGCCGCCACGGGCTCGAGCCGGAGCGCCATCTCCCGCAGCAGCAGCGCGAGCGCAGCCTCCTCGACGCCGCCCGTCTGGGAGAGGGCGGCGGCGCACCGGCTACGCAGAAATCCGAGGCCCGCGAGCCGGTTGATCTGCCCCGCCTCGACCGCCGCCGAGAGCGGCACCTCCTCCTCCTCGTCCTCCGCACCGACGGCGCCGAGGACGACGGCGCCGCTCCTCGCACCGCTCATTCCCGCGGCCGCCCGGACCGCAATCGGCCGCAGCTTTGGGCGGAAGGCGAGAGGCAGCTCGTCGAGCGGGACGTGCACGCACAGCCAGTCGAGTGTGTCGGAGAGAAGGGTCGGCCTCGCGAGGAGGGAGGCGCCGCCCGAGCGAGAGAGCACGATCCCGACCGCCTGCTTCGCATGCCGGTCCACGAAGCGAAGCGAGGCGCACGCCCGGAGGAGCAGCGAGGCGGTGGCCTCATGCGCCGGCGCCACCGCCGAGCCTCCGAGCACGGGCGCCTCATCCCGAAGCTCCTCGAGGAGGTCGAAAACTAGGGCCTCCATGTCGCTGGACAGGCCGATCTCCTCCAGCACGCGAGACCTCCTCGTCGCCCACGCCTGTAGCCCTGCCCGCTGATGCGCGAGGAAGCGACGGAAGGAGGCGTCCTTGTCGTTCGGTGGTGGAGCAGCAGGGCGCCTGCTCGCACGGACGCCTCCGCGGCCGCGGCCGCCGGTCGCCATGCCGCACGCTTTGCCCGCCGAAGCGCCTGTCGACGCACTTCGCTGGTCGCGGCGGTCGCCGCACCTGTCTTCGCCGACGCGCTCCCTCGTCGACTCACTTCGGCGGCAGTGCAAAAAGAATTTGGAGCGATTATAGAAATCTCCACATCCGCCAACGACGAGGGTGGGACGGCCGCGAGGTGGCATGAAGGTTGCAGCGAGAATCGGCGAGAGACTGCGAAGAGAGATAGGAAGAGGCAGACTCCCTAGGGTGGGCGACGGATAGCGCACCACACACCTCTCCTTAAAATCCCTGTGTGGTGGCGGCGTGCCGTCCTCCCATCCCTCCCTTGGGTTGTCTGTTTTCTTTCTTTCTTTTTATCCGCTGCAGGACGAGGCAGACGAGAACGACGCGACAGAGGAGGAAGCGACAGGAGGGAGAACGACGAGAGTGGGACGACCGCGAGGTGGCATGAAGGTTGCAGCGAGAATCGGCGAGAGACTGCGAAGGGAGATAGGAAGAGGCAGACGACCAAGGGATAGGGTGGGCGACGGCTAGCACCACACTCCTCTCCTTAAAATCCCTGTGTGGTGGCGGCGTGCCGTCCTCCCATCCCTCCCTTGCGTTGTCTGTTTTCTTTCTTTTTCACATCCGCTGCCCAATGAAAAGAATTCGAGCATGCGCACTCAGAGCAGACAGGCTCGACACAGGTGCGGGCTGGTGCGGGCCGCACAAAATAGCGCAGAAAAAGAGAGGAAGCGGTCTCTAGAGAGATCTCTCAAAGAGATCGCCAATGTGGAGAAGGGAGTCCATTGAGCTGGGTGAGGTAGTGTCCCCAGCTATGGGCGTGTCCACGTTGGAGCCAGGTGTGGTGTGGACGCGAGAATAGCTCCGCCCGTTCATGGAGGCAACCGATGCGAGTCGACTGGTGTGTGTCGTCGTGGTTTCGTATCAAGAATACTCACTCACTCACAGCCTGACGCTGTCATCCCTTGTCAGGAGCGGGAGAACTACTCGAGTAGGGGAGCGCAACTAAAGGAGGCCCGGCCCGGCCCCCGTCGCCCGTGCCGCCGCCCGCCGGGTGGAACCTGTCCTATAGCTATACACAAGAGAGCGTCCTTCCAAGAATCAAGATCCTTGATCTGCAAGGTGGGGACTCTGTCCTTTTCCCTGGTATCGCCCTTCCAAGTCCTTGATCTGCAAGCATTCTGCAAGGTGGGACTCTGTCCTTCTCCCGCGAGATGGCCCTACATGGACATGGACATGGAGGTTGGGGTGGAGCGCTTGGTTCTGCGTTTCCTTTCTGTTTCGTTTTCTTTCCCTTTCCCTTTTTCTCCTTCTCAGGCCCAGGACGCGGCGTTTTCTTTCTTTCCAGTTCCACATCGAGGTGTGTGTGGTCGCGTGTCAAGCGATGCGGAGACGCTGTGGAGTGTGGAGATGTGTGCTGTGCGTGTGGTGTGTGATAAGCTGAAGGTCGTTTTTTGATCTTGCTTCTTGGTCGGGGCCGGCCCCCCCGCGCGCGCGCGTCCCCTGAGCCCTGGTCTGGCAGCCTGACAGCAAACCCCGACAGCGCCTGACAGTGCCCGACAGCCTGACAGCGTTGACAGCACTTTCTCTGACAGAGGCTGACAGCACGTATCTGACAGCCTGACAGCAGAGCCTGACATCAGAGGCGACCCGTCGCTGTCAGGCCCTAACGTGACAGCCTGACAGCTGCCCGACAGCCCGACAGCAGCTCACAGTGGCCTGACAGCAGCGCTGACAGCCCGACAGCCCGACCAGCCCGACAGCAGCACCTGAGCAGCACAGACCGTACACAGGCCGTGCAGCCTCTTTCTTGTGCCCCATGAGGGTATGACAAAACTATATTCATGCAAAGACATGTGAGTGTGGTCCATGTCCATGTAGTCATGGGATGGTCATGGGTCTCTCTCTTCGACTCTCTCAACCCTCCCGCCCCACCTCTGCGGACCCGCGGCTGTGCTACTACAAATGAAGCTACCAGCTAGCCTTCTGGGGCCCTACAGTCATACATGCCTATACGGCGTCTGGGTGGGGGTGGCCGCCGCCGTCTGTGCCGCCGCCTGCGCTTGCGCCTGCGCCGCCATCTGCGCTCCCGGCCAGGCGGCCGCCGCTGCCGGCGTGATGGCCGGAGGCAGAGTAGAGACTAGAGTATGTGTAGCAGAGTCCTGCCGGTCTCCTCTTGATAGTGTCATAAGTGTGGCTGGTGTGTGTCAGAGGTCAGAGCCTGACACAGCACCCCGACAGCACCACCTGACAGCACCTGACAGCACACCGACCACCTACGTCTGACAGCAGCAGCAGCCTGACAGCTCCGACAGCTCCGACAGCGTCTGACAGCAACACCCGACAGCTCCGACAGCACCCGACAGCTACGTACAGATCCCCTCTGATGTCAGACACGCACCCGACAGCACCCGACAGCACTGACAGCACCGGTGACAGCTGGTCTGAGCTCTCTGACAGACGAGGCGCCTGACAGTGCCTGACAGTGCCCGACAGCCCGACACGCGACAAATCACCTGACAGCCTGCCAGCCAGGGCTCAGCGCGTCCCGAGACGGCGAGAGGCGCGCGCGGCGGGTGCCCGGCGCCGAGCTTTCAGGCTCGGGGTGTGGGTGTCAGTATTGACTATTGTAATCCCTGGGGTCGGGCGAGCGTGGTGGTGACATTATCCACATTCGATCGACGACTCCGCCGCTATATCCTTTCTTCGTTCTCGAGTCGTAGCGGCTTTCGCGCTGCTCTGCTCTGTGCGGCACATGAGCATGATGGGTCACGGTCCAGGACCGCCGGCTCGACGAGCGCGTGTGTCACGACGCCGTCCTCGTCCCGCTCCATCAGGCCGTTGAGGTTGGAGTAAATAAACGGCGCGACGCCGCCAAGCTCGACGAGCGCGATGCGCACCGCCGAGAGCGCCTCCGCCTTGCCCTCCTCACCGCCCGCCGCCGCGACCGCCGGCCCGACGACCTCTCGCCACCGCAGCAGCGGCACGCGCAGCCGGGCGGCCAGCCGGGCCGCCTGCCGCAAGAGCTCCGCCTCGAGGCGCGGCCGCTGCGTCCCCTCGTCGCACCGCCCGGCGAACAGCGGCTGGTCGACGAGCAGCAGCGGGGCGTGCGTGTCCCTCCGCGCGAGCAGCCGCGCCGCTGCCCGCGCCAGAGTGCGTCCCTTGGCGTCCCTCACCCGAAGCAGCCGCACGTTGCCCTGCGCGCGAGGCCAGGAGAGGCGTGGGGGCGAGCGTGGGGGCGGGGCAACCTAAGCAGCTGGGCTCGGGTGGGCGGCGCCTGCGCCACGAGTCCGAGCAGCGCCTTGTTCTCCCGCGCGCACTGCTTGTCGATGCGGAGGCAGGAGCGCAGCTCGTGCCCCGACATGAAGAGCTCCTCTGCCCCGCACCCGCCAGGCAGCACGGCGGCAGCGCCCTCAGCCTCGCCGCCGCCCTCCGCCTCGCCGCCGCCCTCTGCGCCGCGCGCGTCCGCCACGCGCCACAGACGCACCGCGCGTCGCGCTCGCGCGCCCGTCGCCGCGATCGCGTCGAGGTGCCTCCGGTTGAGTGGCTCCCGCAAGCGGAGCTCCGCCACGCTCTCGCCGCCCAGCCCCAGCACGGCGGTCAGCCAGCGGCGCGCGAGCGGGGCGATCGCGGCGTCGTCGGCGTGCAGCGCCAAGTAGTTGAAGAGCAGCTCCGGCCGCCGCCACCCCTTCAGGCGGGAGAGGCACGCGGCGTCGGCGGGGCGGTGGCTCGCGCCCTCCCCGCCCTCGCCCTCGCCCTCGAGCTGGCTGCCCAAGGCCTCGCCAACCAGGCGCAGCAGGCAGGAGGGCGCGGTGCCAGCGCGCGAGAGGGCAGCGCGGTAGCGGGGCCTCAGCTCGCCCGCCCGCTCGAGCACACAGCACGCGAGCATCACACCACGCACCCCCTCGAGCGCCCGCGCCGCCTCGTCCGCCGCCTCCGCCTCCGCCTCGGCGCCTCCCTGCCGCGCCCCGTCGCCCGCCCCGTCGCACGCCTGCACCAGGAGCCAAACCTCGTGCCCCAGCCTCTCCGCGCCCTCCACCCACTTCTGCTGCGGCCGCACGCCGCCCCTCACCAGCGCGCCGTGGCTCGCGCACAGCAGCAGCGCAACCTCGGACCCTCGCGACCGGGCAAGCACAGCCGCGCTCACCTCCTCCCTGTCCCCGCCCGCGCCCACCGCCGCCAGCAGCCTCTCGACCGCCCACGCCTGCAGGGCTCGCAGCAGTACCCGCCCCTCCTCGCCGCAGCCCGCCAGCCGCAGCACCAGCAGTGCCGCGCCCGACCCCGACCCCGACCCCTCCGGCCGCGCCTCTGGAGGAAGGCTCGCCAGCCACAGCCGCAGAGGCGTCTCCAGGAAGGGCAGCGTCGCCCGCAGCGCCTGGCTGTGCTCCCTCAGCTCGGGCCGCGCCTCCAGCGCCTCCCCGAGCCGCGGGGGGCGCGCCTCCGCCTCGAGCCGCTGCTGCACCGTGCCGCCGCCGCTTCGCCAGCGGAAGGCGGCGCCCGGCGAGGTGAAGCCGCGGCACAGCACGAGGAAGCAGGCGACGCGCGCCGACGAGGGTGCCGTGCGCGTGAGCGGGCGAAGTGAGCCCAGCAGCTCGTCGGCCTCTTCGGGCGTGAGCGCGGCGAGGGTGCCGAGGAGCAGGCCCAGCTCGGCCAGGCAGCGCTCCACCCCGCGGCGCGTCTTCAGCCCTTCGTTGCGCTTGGCTGAGAACTTGGCGACCGCGTAGACGGCGGGAGCCTCTGCCGCGCAGCGCGCCAGCACGCCGCTGCACAGGGCTCGGGCCGCCGCGAGCGCCTCCTCCTGCGGTGGACGGCCCTCGGCCGCTGCCGCCGCCTCGGCCGCCAGCTCGCACACGGCGTCGCACAGGCAGCTGGCGATCCGCAACCACCGGCCGTGTGACTCGCTCAAGCTCGCCACCTCGTCTCGCTTGCGGAAGAGGCCGTCGCTCGGAGACGATGGCGCACTCAGGCTCTCGTGCAGCGCAGCACTCAGCTGCGAGATTGCCACTCCGCTTTCGCCCGCGGCCGCGGCAGCGCGGCATCGCAGGCTGCCGCAGCGCCGTGCGGCCTGCGGCAGAGGTAGGAGGAGGGCCGACAGCAGCAGTGCTTGCATGGGCAGCTCACGGCGTAGGTTCTTTTTCTTTTTTGAAGAGATCACACGTGGTGATGGAAGAACACAACCTACCCTCTCCACTCTCACGACGCGATCTTTGTCAAGCGCAACAACTTCAACCTGCTGCTCCACGAGACGTTCGGCGGCGGCTTCTCGCCCACCGCCGTTCTCAAAAGCTGCGCCGCCTTGCGCGCAAAGTCGCGCGCGGCAGCGTTGACCGCACAGCCTACTCGCCCAAGTACTCGCTTTCTTTTATGTCCCACCATGCAGAGCGCATCTCTCTCTCTGTTGTGCGAGGCGTGAACCGCGCCATTCGCTCTCACCTGGCAACCCTGTCTGCACGTCTCGCGCGCGCGTGAACAGGGCCCTAGCCTTCGCCGGCATGGCAAAGAAGGCGTCGGGCGGGCGCCTGTTCTCCAGCGTCAGTCAGCTAGCCTTCGTTCCAGAGAGAGAGAGGCGTGAACCGCGCCATTCGCTCTCACCTGGCAACCCTGTCTGCACGTCTCGCGCGCGCGTGAACAGGGCACCTCCATAAACATCATTTTGCAGGGGCTCCAGGCCCCAAATGACGTGTGAGTGTTAGAGTTGTTTGGTATTGCTAAAAATCTCTCTCACAACAGACAGACAGGCACCAAAACAACAACAAGCAGGGACCACCCCCACAGTCGGTGGGTGTTCGATCGAGCTTAATAAGGGCGTTGTTCTTCTGACCCAATTAATTGGCACGCTCATTGCGCGCCTGCTTTGCTGATGTTGGTAGCGTCGCCCGCCACTGCAGCCATGGACATCTGCGTGAGCTGCGACCTGCGTGTGGCGGCGTGGACGACAAAAGAGGAGCAGCCCGCCGCCGCCATCGCCGCCGCCGCCATCGCCGCCGCCGCCATCGCCGCCGCCGCCGTCGCCGCCGCCGCCGTCGCCGCCGCCGCCCTCCCCGCCGCCGCCCTCCCCGCCGCCGCCCTCCCGCCCCCGCCCTCTCCGCCCCCGCCGTCGCCTCCCCTGCCGTCGCCGCCCCCGCCGTCGCCGCCTCCACCCAGCCCGCCGCCGCCGTCGCCGCCGCCAGCCTCGCCACCACCACGCCAGTGCGGCGAGTGCTTACAACAGCAACTCGGTCGTCGAAGGCTACACGAAGGCGAGGCGGGCAACATCGCAGGCCCTCCTTGGGAGATTTGGGACGGTGGAGCTTGCACGGTCGAGTGCCCTTCGTGGTGCAACTCCTCGGCCCCTAAGGCTCACTCCTCG